ACACTCAAATCCCTCTTTGTTGGTGGAATCATGAGACGCAACAACTTGAATAAACCACTGAGGCGTGGCAGTCAGCAAACCAATACCAAGAAGTTCTAGCAGAGCTGACTAGTGAGGATAAGAATGAATCAGTTCAACTGTACCGAAAGTATCTCAGGCATTTGTAGACAGTGAGTCAGACAGTTGACTTATCTTTTTTATCAGAAAAATTTAAGGGTGTGTCACTCTTTCAACACGCAGTGTTGTTAAAACAGCAACGCCACAACTACGCTTTCATTCAGGTAGTAGAAGTCCTTTTGAAATGACAGAATAAATCTGGCCACCAGCCGTTTTTCACTTCACAAAAGAGGCAGGCTAAAGAGGAAGAGACAAATATTTCTTAACTCCGTTTCATTCTCTGCGTACTGGTTATTTACCTCACTTTGTTCATGTTAACCCATTTTTTTATGCACACAAACTGAAAGATTAAACATCAGCATTAGTAGCAGCTTAAGAAAAAGCTTGGATGCGTCATGCTAAACTATTATTAATGTTTTTACATTTTCTGGAGCGAGTCTGGAGTGAGTTTGTTCAGCCATGACTCCGTGAACAACATAAGGTTGCCTCCCGATACTCCCACTGCAGCCGGGTCAGCGCTGTTGGCTGTTAGCTCTTCCATCCCGTTAGGGAGAGCCCTCTTGTAGATCTCCTCTTCTCCCGATGCTTCACTCCTGCCCTGCATCCCCTCTTTCTCCTGCAGAGCTCATCGGGGATGTCCGGTCTCTCCCACAACAGTGTCTTGGCCTGGCTCTGCGCCAACAGCTGTTCACGAGTGTAAAGAACAATGGAGCCACGGCTCAACGGCTCAACAGCTCAACAGACGCAGACTCCAAAAACTCGCAAAAAAGCAAAGAACAGACCAACATAACCGCCATCTGCATCTCCACTGTTCCTGCACAAATGTGGTGGCAAAACAAAAACATCAAAAAGACAGAAGAAGACCAAAGTAAATAGCCAAAAACACAGAAAGCAGGTAAGAGCCGCTGCAACTGGCTGCCACTCTCACGGCACCATAGCAAAAGAACACACACAAAAAAACAACTAAAAAAACTACTGACTTGAGACCAGCCAAATTATAACACACCTAATGATATAGTAAATGTGTTTTTGGCCAGTTATTTCCATTCAATAGCGTATATTTGCCTTAATGTCTGGAAACTTTTAAACAACCATTTGAGCACTACAACCATGTAATGTGTCAGCCAGTTTCCTGGCTCTGTAAAGCATGTTAGATTTGTTGTTTGCGTTTTTTTCACCAATTTCATGCTGTGGTAAAACAGTGAGAGTAAAAACTGCTTTTTCTTGTGCTAAACTGATTGAAAGAAGATTTATTTCAGTTTGACAAAGTAAAAAACTATGGAACTGTAAATTTATGTTTTTTGTTTTTGTTAAATTGTTATCTTGTTATATTCTTATATAGTTTTTTTCAGTTATTATATATTTATTATTAATTTTTTTTTAGTTATTTTAACTTAATGCTGTGCAAAATAAAAGTTTAAGCCAAAATTAGGCCTTCATCCTTTTTGTAAGAAACCCCCCCCCAATCCCCGTCAGGGTTTAGTCTTCTCTAAGTAGCAGTATTATGTGGATGCCACATTCATTGACAGTGTTACATGTAATAACAACGTCAGACAATGGTGAAGTAACCCTCAAATCTGTGGAGACATACAATTTCAAAGTAAACTCTGCACCACTGCCCAAAGGTATGTACGCCGTGTTAGGAGGCACTAGTTTTAGTATCATCTATAGCAGCGTTCAGGTACTGCAGCCATTCCTGTAATGTAGCATTTCTAGTACTGACCTAGTTTTATCTGGTAGAGCCGTTGAAGTATGTTCCACAGCATAGTTCAGGTAGCTAAGCCAAAAAAAAAAAAAAAACACATGGAATTTTTAGTAGCTAGTTTTTTCAGCTTAAGTTATTTACGTACATTCTATAAGAGCATTCGGTCGTGTAGCTAATCGTGAAAGAATGTAGCATTGCTACTAGCAAACTAGTTTTTCCACTGCAGTCTCGTTTCTGCTGCAGGAACTTACCCTGAGGACATTCTGAGTTCCTAAAGTGGTCTCCATGAGAGGAAACAGCATCTAAATTTTACTCTAGGGAGATGGCAATCCACAAAAAGAAGGTCCACCCTAACATTTGGTTGAGGAAATTAGTACGCAAAAACAATGCAGTCATCCATCCATTATCTGCACACCGCTTAATCCTCACTAGGGTCGCGGGGGGGCTGGAGTCTATCCCAGCCGACTTAGGGTGAAGGCAGGGGACACCCTGGACAGGTTGCCAGTCTATCACAGGGCCACAAACAATTGTTAATTTTGAAAATAACAGGTGACTAATTTGTCTAACCCCTGCAAGGCATTAAAGCAAGGAACTCAGATCAGGTGCAACGTTCTGCCTTTCAGTCTTTCAGTCTTGCGGTGTAGTATTAAAAAGTCTCGGCCTTGACATCAACCATAACTGCGCCAAAACAACGACAAAAGTTACTGGACGCAACTCACATAACCACAAGTCCCTGCAGTGGAAGGCCACTCAATTAGGGGCTGAAGGAACCTTTAAGCCCCTAGAAAGTTCCTGGACAATAGTCCCTGGAACAAAAAAGTTATTAGTTTGTTTTGTTATGTAGAAAAGTAACCTCAGCATGCTTCTGGACTGTAGGAGGAAGCCAGAGAACCCGGATTGTTAAGCTTAGTTTCTGAGCAGCTTGTGGCGAAGCTTGTTAAGTTCAACCGTAGTAAGGTGTTGCTGTAGCTGAACCTCTGAACAGAAGTAGAATAATTGCATTAGCTTACATGAACCTCCTCCTTCTCTTACAGCCTTCAGTTCCACAAAAGAAACAAAAAGTCATTAACAAAGAAAATAACAGAAAAAAAACATGCTAAATGTTAATATTGATTAAAATTAATTATTTGTGAACTGACCACAGCTATAATTTCATAACCAATCAAGACTGTAAGCAAGTTCATACAACACTAGATTTGGTTGCAAAATTGGCCCATTTCTGCTGTGCATGCCGAAGTAATTTAATATAATTCCTGCCATTCTACCATCTTCACATAATTTTTAAGACAGACAATGTTGTGGCTCCAGGCTGACTCTTAGCAACAGAGAATGAACTCTCCCTCGACCCAAACCACTGTGGGAAAAGTGAGGTGGAGACAGTCTCACAGGAACCACCCGGGTGTTGCAGCCAGGTTAAAGGGTAGATTCAAGTCAGACAGCATTCAGAGTTCAGGACGTTCTGCTCCTCTGGCATTATAATCTCTCTCCTCTAGACAATCAGAACCATAATAATACACCACACTGAGACATAACAACACCTGCACTAAATCAACATGGCTCTGCTGCTGAAGAAGTAGAGAATAACATCTCTGCTCTGATATAGAGCCTGTTTACAGCTACTGTTAAGATAATATTAAGTTAGTTGGCAGCCAAGCAGGGAGATATCAATACAATTCAGTTATAAACAATAAACTTCAGCCTTTGTAGAGAAAATATTTATCCAAAATTATAATTTATCATATTTGAATGATTATTACTTATTTTGTTATGAAACCATCAGGTAAAGCACCTAATGTTAGCATGGTGAAGCTCAGAAAAAAATACCCGATTTGCACTAAAATATCATCAATATTATTAGTTTTTACCAAAAGTTATATATAACAATAATACAATAATAATAATCCAAATAATTGGTTTACACCTAAGTACAAGAACAAAAAGCTTTTAAAAAAACGCACAAAATGTCTTTGTGCAAAACTAGCCGACTAGCTAACTAGTGAGCTAACTCGTGAAAGTATCACTAGCAGTGGATATCTAGACAAAAAACTTTCATGAACAAAATGAGGTGTTTAAATGATTTATTTCTAAATTCAGATGTATGCTACTTATTTCTTTAACTAACCAATAGTTTAAAAAGCTAGTGTTAGCATGAGTAGCAGCTTGGAAAAAAGCTGGTGTGATTTTTAACAGAAGTACTATCAATATAATCATTTTTATGAAAAATTAATTTATAGCTATTGAGACAACATAACCATAGTAATAGAAATCATGCCATACACCTTCGCAGAAAAACAAAAAGCTTTAAAAAATGAAATAAATGCACAAATATCTTTGAGCTAAATTTGCCAACAAGCTAACTAGTGAGCTAACTCATGACAGCAGCAAGGCCAACCGAGAGTGGATATCTGGACAAAAGATGTCATGTTAGATCACAATTAGGTTTTTACATTACACTATATGACAATTTAGCTACTGAGACTTAAACTTAATTTGAAAAAAATGTACTTTGTAATTTTAGTGACTTCAGTTGCTCAAAGAAATTAAAATTTTATACTATTTTTGACAATTCTACCATATAAAACTTGTTGTAGGCAGAATTTACCTGCACCCACAAAATGTATAGCTTCTTTATGGCTTATGTTATTTTTACCTTGCTATTTTTAACAAAACGTCTTGACATATTTCCACATACCCGTTGCCTAGACAAGTGGAATGAGACCACACATGGGTGCTCAAGAAAGCTTTTCCTCTCGTGGGTAACATTTCTAACCGCGTCGCTTTTGGAAAATGAAGTGTGTGCTGGAGCTGGTGTGTTTCTGCAAAGGGAAACTGGAGCAGTGAAGCTAATATAGCAGCTCACCAGATCCCTGTGGAGCACCCAGTTGGCATGGAGGTAATGGATCCCATCCAGAATCTGATACAGGAGAGACTTCACCATCCCTCGGGGCAGCTGCATGGGCTTCTTGTTGGCCTTGGAGGCGCGGTGGAACTTGATGATGTGCTATGAAGCAAAGAAAAGTTTCGCCTCAGTTTAGATGGTGTACCTACAACATTTACAACAAACACAGTCTCCTTGTCTTCTGCAGTATAACGTCAAATTGAGAGAAACCAACACCAGCAAGCAGATAAATGCATTTAACCTGGTGAACCCTAAGCTTTATTTTGCTCCTGTCACATTTTTATTTACTATGGGCTCATTTTTTACTACAATATCAAGTCCTGCACCACTACGGAAACAGAACAACCATGGCTAGAAGCAGAGAGAACTCAAAAATGTTTTTGGTGTAGTTTAAAGAAGTCATATTGCCATAAATCATAAAACAGAAAAAAAAAAAAGCTTGAATTTCTTTGAGCATTTATTTCACAAACAAATGAAAAGCCTGTTCAACCAACCTACTACACTGAGTGAGAGGAATGAGCGTTTCCTCAACAATCAAAGGTATCACAAGTCGCAACCCATGACTTGAGTTGAACTCCTGGACTCAAAGTAAAGTAACATTAAGTTATCAAGCCAATTTCATTAAGTTACCTCAACTTGAATTCGCTTTTAAATCAACGAATGCAGAAATTTGAGTTCAAATTGAGTTCAAAAAGTTGATGCAATTACCAATATAATTATGTCAATACAACTCATCAGATAACGTTAGCAATTTAAAAGCTTTATCTAAATCAGTAGATTAGACTTGTTTTTTTTTTTGTTGTTTTTTTAAAATCTTGCAATCATACTCCTACCTGATAGCCTGTTTGGCCAAAGTGCCTCTGAATTCTTGTCATACGGCTGTCGGTCGCAGCTTTATTATCTTGGCTTCACAGTTGCACCAAGAAGCAGAGAATTTCTTGCAGACTCTAGTTTGTGCAAATGGTATATTTTTGACACATTTTCAAATGAGACAAAAATCCAATGAGTCCTTCTGTTTTTACAGTTTCTGGCTATGATAAATGGTACAATTTTGCCATTTTTTGAAAGATAACACGTGTTCCAAACCTGCTGCTGGGTTTTGGGGTTCACAGGGTTAAACTACCAGACACTTTGGAGGATATCTATTCATAGAAGGGAACAGGATCTCCAAATCCTGTCTGGCTACCTCACAATGTGTTTGGTAAATTAGACATATTCAGCGCGGACAGATTATTGGCAGATAACTGGCTGCTGGTGTCTGGCCCCTATCGACTAGACTGAAGGACATATTTCAAAGAGTTTCCAGGTATAGATGAAAAAGTGACACTCTGAAGTTACACAAAACTCATATTTATCTTCATGAATATCCAAAAATGTGGAAAAACTGTTCAAATCTTCCATAATTAAGCATTAGCTGTGTAATTCATATAAGAATGAACATCCAGATGTCGATTTTTCTGGTTGGGACCACAGTTATTTGGATCACCTGAAGGTAGTTTCTGTGTTTGTGTTCTAAGTTTTAAAACCTGCATACAGCAGGAACTGAAATTCCATGTTACAGTCAACAAACACACCACTAATTCAAGGTGCCTAATAGATAGACAAATAATTGAAACTCATAAATTGGTGCAAGTTGCAGTTCCAGACTCACCCAAAGATCGTGTTCGGCATAATCGAAGAGGAGCCAGACTTTTCTGTCGCTGTGGGACAGGAACACTTTCTGGAGGGCGATCACATTTGGGTGTTTCAGTTCTCGTAACAGCTGGAAGACACACAGCAGAAATTGTGAATAGGCTGGGAGAAAAAAAAAGGACAAAACATGTTTACCATTCAATGCAATGCATGTTTTGTGGGTAGGTGTAGCTAACATATGATGGGCAGGTGAGAGTTCTCCTCAAAGAAAATTTTCCAGAAAACAGCAAGAAGAGTCTTATTGCTTAAGTGGACAGCAAGCTGTAGTTAAAGTCAGAAGTACAAAAATAAGCCCAAGGCTTTGCCATGCAAAATTATTCATTTATATCATGTGCCCAAATGTGGGGAAATATTAAATTGTACACAACCATGGCTTCTGTTCTCGAATAAAGAGACACAAAGACTGATAAGAACATTCTCATAAAATAATCCTCTGTAGAAGACAAAAAAATACGAGCAATAATGACACAGATAATTAAAGACACACCACTTGGAGGCTCTTATGCAAAAGCCCTTTTAGTATTGTGGGTGAATTAATTTACAGCTTGACTTCACATTACACATAAAAGACAGACAGTAATTAATATCTGAAATGAGACATCCAGCAGTTGATAAAAGTCTCATTTAACATGTCAGTGCTGCAGGGATTAAAGCACAAAACTGCCAGTGTTGTCTGCATTTCTGTTCAGAGTACCTTCTATGAGCAAAATATTAAATTTAGACGAGACTTTGTGTAATAAACAGCCATCTGCGTTTCTGAAAAATAATGTTTATAATCAGCACAGTGTGGCTATGAGTCAGCAGCCATGTGCATACAGTATGAGACACTTTAGATGGTAGATGACTGAAATCCAAGCTCCATATAATCCTCTTAACAAAATGATTAGCTGATGAGCTTTTTGTCTGATTTTAATAATCAGGTCTTACTGGGAAAAAAAAATCAACACACTTCTTAATCGCTAAATGTAACTGCTGAAAGTGAAATGACAGGCATGAAGAATTACCTCTGAAAGAAGAAATGTCTTTGTTTTTAGTGCAGAGTGAAACAGTTTAAATTTTGTACATTTATTGTCCCCAGAGGACAGATTCTGTAATTACTTTGGTGAAAAGTGTGTTTCAAAGTTGCTTTGAAGAAACAGCACGAAAGTCAGAAGGATTACCTGATGCTGGAAAGAAAAACATATTTCCAAATCTGAATCATTCTGAGTCTGATTACATTTTCTGAAGAACCGAAATATATACTAAAGGTTTCAATGGTTTTAGCCAGTTACCTGTCCTAGTTTTTTTCGCCTATATTTGTTATGTATGCTAAACTAGGTGGTAGCAGTTCTTGCTTACAGTGTTCCAATTTATTTCAAGACACAGTTTTGTGTATTATTTTAATGCAAAAGGAATATACAAAACTCAATCATGTAAATGGAACTTTTGGACTTATAGTTAGCGCTTTTTAAATTATGTCTTCGAGGATGTTTATTGATGATGGACATTGGTGATAATGGTTTGCTCTGGAAGTGTGAGCCATGAAATTAAATGAAAAATATCTATATCATGTCTTTCTGCAAGGATTCGACTGAGCAAAACCAGGCATTTGCTTCTCATCTTTCTGTCACTTCACTTCAACTCTTGTGCTATACAGTATGAAAAAATCTTTAGCATCACAAACAAAACCTTTTATTTTTGCCATGAAGAAAATACTCCAAGAGTTACTAACAGATTGGCTGCACTAGCAAGACACACTGATGTGTTGTGCCAACATGAGAAACAATGTTATGCTAAGAGATCAGTCATATGAACTCCAAGCAGTCTATGGACATTTTGTGCTACTGTCACATTTTTCATCACTCTGGGCTCATTTGTCACCGCAATATTAAGCCTCCTATGGAAACAGCACAACCATGGCTGGAAGGAGAGAGAGAATGTATACATAAATCATACAAAAGAGAAAAAGTTGAATTTGTGCTTTGTGTAAACACAGCCTGCAATTTAGATGAAAAGGACATGAATTTTTGTCATATGACAGATGGTCGTAGCTGAGTTACTAATGTCTTCACAGTTATGCAATGGAGTGCATAATTTTAGCTTTTTGCAGAATCTGGTGACTACAAACAGTTTATTCTTATTGTTTGTTTGGATTGTGATTTTATTTTTAACTAATTTTTTAATGAGACATGTAGAATGAAGTGATGCCCTGAAATATCACTACTTCAGGCTTAGATTTGGTTAATTTTTTAACGATGAAACCGCACAACACACATTATTAGTTCAAGAACTGTCAGAAGATTCAAAATCTGATGGTTCTTTGCTTGTACAGTTTCTGACTCTGATAAATGGTGTAATTTTGTTGATTTTTTTAAACCTGCTGGTGGGTTTTGTGGCTCAGAGGGTTAAATACATGACTCATTTTACATTTCAGCCTGAAAACATTCACCTACAACACTGCATAGCTTTAAACATAGATTGCAAAGTAGTATATTATATTAATTGATCAAACAAGATCAATAAACACCAAATGTACTGTGTAAGTGCTTCGCGGTGAAACATAATATGATTTGATTTCAACGGGATCACAGCCAAGTCACCCTAATGCAGTGATTAGGTGTCCCAAATTAAAATGAATGACCCAATTTAAAACAAGTTTAATCTGTGGTACTGGCTTCAAAGTAACAGCATGGAAACTTCCAGCGTTGCCTTTGCATTCATCAGTGAGCCTCTGGTTGTAACAGCAGCCGAAAGCCTAACGGAGGTTCACAGAGAGACAACTGTATAATGAAGGACCACCATCCCGACTAACGCTGTAAACTGTGCCGCACCGTCCAAGCAGCGCCTCTTTCTCTGTCTTTGTAGCCGCTTCATTGATTCCACCGGCTCCCATTTGCACTGTGCTATTTGCTGACCCATCACAGACAATCCATAATCAATCATGCCCTTTAGTCAGCCCTTCGTGTCTGCGGGGTCTTTCAGTCGGGAGAACTGAAACAGCGAATCCCACCCACAGGATGAATTATTCATTAGGACGAGCTGCCGTGGCTCTTACTGTACTCCACCTGCAGCAACATGCAAAGAAAAACAACTCAGATGCAGAGTTCACGGACCTGCATGTCTCTCATAAATATCACAGCAGCTATTCGTAGTTCAGGCCCCTTTATTTGCAGTATTGTAGGGTTTTAGTGGACCTTTAGCCTTTTACCTGCACTGTGCTTTATTGTTCTCCCTGTTTTTTTTTGACTCCATCACATGCACATGCTGGCTGCACTTGTATTCAAAACAGACACATCAAAGGAGACGATCCGACTTGGCTCAGCATCGTAGTAACACAGATGGAGAACTGCACTCTAATTCACACTCCAAGAGTAACTAAAGCTGTGTGAATACCTCACGGCTTTGAAACCAGGTCAGCGCCGCACAAGGAACGTATCTAATTTCAGAGAATCCATTGACACAAATCCTGTGTTACATGGTAGAGCTGCTTTCTTAACAGGGCTGTACCGCTGTTACGACCTTAAGTCTTCCTGTGCAGTGAAGCATCTCTGAGTGTCTGTGAACATTTGCTCGGTAAACAATTTTAATTATCAATACTTCAGGCTTGCAGAATTCCAAAATTGTGTTGTTTTGCCTAGTTAGTTTGAGTGAGTTTCGTTTGTCTGCTCTGTCAGGTTTAAACTTCATAAGTTGAACCAAAAGTTGTTTCTGGACATTTTTTTTTGCTCCTTTCAAATTTTTGCTTAGTGTAGGCTCATTTTTCACTCCTGAAATAAAGTCCTGAACCTCTCTGGAAACAGCACAACCATGATTAGAAGTAGAAGCAACTAAAAAAACAGTTGAGTTTCTTTGATTCTTACAAAAATACAAAAACTGGTATTCAAGTGCCCCCAGATGTTACCAATCCTGGAAAAACATGATGACTCTCCATACTATAGATAATTTACTTGTTACATTTTGTATTTGTTTCCATACTTGTCTCCTCTCTGCTACACAGTCTGCAGTTCAGTAAATCAAGAAAATAATGGCCAGATTTACTGACAACGAAAATAAATCATCACATCTCATCATATTAGATCTCAACTGAGGACTGAATAATAATTAAGCTCACAATAAGCAAATATTCACTATGAGAATCAAGTGCTGCAGAAGTAAATGTCTCCCTTGGTCACATAGTCTAAGCTTAATGCAAAAACACAAGAAACTGCTCTATTGTAGTTTTTTTTCACTGAGGTAGCTCTAAAGGAGAATGTACCCTGCTTTACTGGATTGATACTGACACGATCTATGGTTTTAGTATCTATGGTACGCAGGGGAAAGATCAAGCAAATCACTATGCATGGCAGCGCTTCCAACTAAAACTTGTGTTGGTTTTATTGATTTCTACAGATTTCCAGACAAATAGAAGCTGCTTCTTTCTGCGGGCAAAATCTTTGGAAGGCATCATGGAAAACGGTCCTAAACGCCTCTACCCACAGATTGTATTCTCATGATCGAAAACAGATAACCAGAATCATCCAAATAAATGCACAGTAGCTCAACTGTGCAGCACGTCTCATCTTATTGTACCCTCAAGGCAGCCAAGGACAGCCTTAGCATGGAAAATGACAGAGGAGGGGGGACAAACCAAACAGGAATAATGCTGGAATTGTATGCGGGCTGTTTGATTTGGCCTCTGGATGGGGAAATGAGGTTTGTGTTTAATCACAACCCTAATCCACAGGCTATAATGGGGCATTGTGGTAATGAGCCCTGGGCTTAGGGCTATGCGCCCCCAGCACTGTGGCACCACTTTGTACCCAAAGGCCGAACGCTGGACGAAACAGACCCACTGAGACTTCATATAATCACTGACTCAATGCGGCACTAATGCCACTTTCACATACATTTTCTATGCTATCATAAACACATGTTTAACCCATTTATTGTTTACTAGACTACGGTAATGGGCTAATTCCTGGTGGCACACAATTTCCAATCGCATCGCTTCTATAACAAAAACATTGTATGTGAGCTTGTGCATTTACGAGACTGAATGAGTCGCCTTACAATGTATAAAATATCTTCTCTTTTTGAAAATGTAATTACATATTATACATATGTAGTCATCTAGCTGGACAGTT